GAAGTTTAAGCCGAACTTCTATTCGCCATGCTAGACGTAGCAAACGCCATTATCCTTTTAGAATTGCCAGATGGTGGCGCTCGACCGTCCGCCGTACACGCTTTGGGCTGAATACGACGGGGCAACCTCTCTATTAACCATACAGGATGAAAATTAAAAAGGCAATACTATCTACAGATTACGTCTAAAAACTATGTACTGTACTGTACAATTGCAATTTATAGACTCTTCTAAATGCCATAGGCAATTGTTTTCGGTGACGAGTTACGTAAGCAAGCCAGTTACAACGGTTTCGCACAAAACGGGTCACGTCATTGACTTTCTTAGCCGCTCGTCACTTGCACGTAACCCTTATACGCGAATTTAATTAATTAAAATATAGGATATTAAATAATGAAAAAAACTAATAAACACGTTGAAAGTTCGTCGCTTGTTATTCTAACCGAAAAATAGCCGCCATTAATCACGCTGTAGCCAGTTTAATAGTATAAAAGTATGAAAATTATGATAATAAGCAAACGAAAAAATATTTTAATAAAATTCCTCTATTGAGAAATAGGATAATTTATCCAAATTAAGGGCGCGATCAATCTGATTTGATCGGCGCCCTTTAAAGGACATCGTATGGCTAGACTCTTTGCCCAATAACAACGTCCAACGTTCAACGTCCAATAACACGTCGGCCTTGCCGACGGAAGTCATCAGGTATCTCACCGCCGACAGAAGAGCTACCGTTGCGTGGCCGGAGGTGTGAAGACCCACGGTGCACATCCTTTTCACGAAAGCCAAGATCCGACGCACCGGGTCGCTCTTGTGTCTTTTCAGAACGGCGACATCGATGCATTTCCACAGCGCTTCCAAATCTTCCTCGCAACTGCCGGCGTGCATCCTAAGTAACGTCATGTACAATCGAACAAAGAACCTCTGCGGGTCTACGTTGAAAACCGAACCCTGTCCGGACAGGACGACGAATACCGTGTGCAGACAGTGCAGAATTTCGACGTCGCTCAATCGGACTCGGTCCGGGAGGGCGTGCAGTTCGTTTATGAGATGTTCGAAGAACTCCACGTTGATCAAGTGGGCGAATTTCGTCAGTCCTTCCAACACTGGAGTTAATAGCCAGGGTGTCGAATCCTTCAACACCCTGAAATAAGTCAGGAAGACGCGTTTCAGAATTTCGCTATTGATCCTGGCTCTATCCGACTTGTTTTCCTCCGCTTCCGTCTCCCTCAACTTCCGTTCCAACTCCTTGGATTGCTTCTCCCTCTTCCTTTCTCTTCTCGACATCCTGGCCAGTTTCTTCCGAATCACTTTTGCATTCTTGGTCGACGTTTCGTCCACCCTCGTGTCTATCGGGTTCAGACTGGTAAAAGTCCTTAGAACTTCCGGACGCACGTTTCTCCTGCTCTTCACTAATTCCACCGTGTTCTTCACGATGGCCAAAGACGTCTGGCCTTTTTTGTCTTCTCGAAAGACCTGGCAGATGGCCCGACAGCACTTTTCCGAAACTTCGTCGTCTCTGCTGGCCGCCAACGGCACCACCACCCGAACGATGTTGGCGCCGAAGTTGAAATCGGCGTGGGCAACCAGAAGTCGGCACAGACATTCGATGGCCACCAGACCCAATTTCCTCCTCCTCTCCGCGTAGACGTCGCGGCCGGCCGCGAACTTCTGTCCGAAAGCCGCCTTCACGGCTTTCTCCAGAAACTGCAGGTATTGTTTGTAGTATCTCAACAGACTTTCCTCGAATCTGTTGAGCTTTCTGGTTTCCTTTTTCATTTTCTGAGACTTCTTTCCTTCGCCTAACGCGCGTATCTGATAAGAAGGCAAAATGTCGCCGTACACCTCCAGAAGCGATAGCGCGGTCAACCTGGCAATCACCAGGTTTGCCGTGGGATCTTTCTCTTTTAAGAGGAGAGTGAGTNTTTTGTTAGACATTTAATAAAACAAATTTCAATATTTTAAATTTATAAACAAATTGTTCAAACGTTTCTAGAAAAACTAAAATTTATTGTTGTGTATTAAATATTTTTTATTAATAAAAATTTAAGATTTGTTTGTTTTTCACATTATTTAGTTTTGTTTTATTTATTGTTTTATATTTTTTGTGTGTTCTATTTCTAGTGTGAGAAAGGGGGCCCGTAAGAAAAAAATGTCTAGGGCCCCAAAGTGGGTTAATCCGGCCCTGGTCGTCCTGTAACATGTCCTCCATTCCGTAGTAATCGTCTTCTTGCTCCCCATTTTCTTCCACAGCTTCGTGTCTTTTGAATCTCTTGCGGCGCGTCATGATTGGCAGATACCTGAAACAAAAAATAAATAAGTGAAACTTGCATTAAAGTTCACGGCAACGCGACTCGTGAGCGATCTGCCGGGAGACATTTTATGGGAAAATAGCCTTAAATGTTGCTAACGTCAAGAAAACTCCGAAAACTCCCATCCACTGTCCAGGCGGGAACCCGCGACCAACCACCGCTGCTCGGTGGTTTTATCCGTTCGGCCAGTGGTGGGCGCTCCGAGTCTGCAATGCATGAAATATCTATATACAGTAGAGCATCGATTATCCGACTCAATTGGGGACTCGGTTGGTCGGATAACCGAAAAGAATGAAAAAATACATTATTAGTATAGTATATCCCATATAATTAGTATATCGCTATTAACCAACTTCGCGTTGAATTTTCATCGATGTTAAGCCTAACAATTTTTTTAAAATTAATAATCGTCACTATTGTATCGTTAAAAATTATTTTTAAATTATTTTATTGCTCACAAAACAAACCACCACTCATAATTAGAAAATTAAGTCTCGTTTAAATACTGGCCTCCCTTCAAGGGTCGAGCCGGTGTTGGCCAAGGTCTTAGATTATCAGGTTGCCTCATAGAGAAGAAACGCTTCTCATTGGTTGCTTATTTGACGTCACTCGTAGTCGAAAACGAAACATCTTACTATGTCCTTATGGTAGAAACGTTACCGATCAGAGGCTCGTAGCTTTAATTACACGCTAATATTTTATTAATTACGATACTTACTTAATTAAATAAAAATAAAAATTGATTATAAATAAGAAAAATCCGGAATATTGAGCAAATCTTCGTAATTTTTACGTGTAAAGTTGAAGTTAAAATGAGTTTTTCTACTTTGTAAATGAAATCTATTTTATCTATTTTATGATTTTATAACAACAATAGTTTCTTAAAACGATTAATTTTGNTTTTTTTTTATTTTGCACAAACAATATACAGTTTAACCTGATTATAACGTCAAATTTTTACTGGTCCCACGATTTTACTATACTAGACAATGTTAAAAAAACCTACTAGTAACGACATAAAACCTTGTTTTAATGTCATATTTGAAGCACTCCCAAATTTACAAAATTAGATTACAAATTTTATTTAAGAAAATACTATGTGTTCAGTCCTAGGGTCAGAGTCCATTTCCTTCAACGACTGTGGGTGGTACTCTCACCACCTGACTTCGGTTTGCCTGTTCGTAGAGAGAGTCGCCATTTTGTATTTTACTTTCACTCGGTTCTCGGTCCCGAGTACCTACAAGTCAGGTTTTTTTAAGCGCGCATGATTTGGGCTCTTAATACTCTGTGCCATATTGCCACTCCTGACATGTACTCTTTCATACCTCTAAGCTGGTAACACAGCAGATAGTACGATTTTATAAACAAGACATAATCTTGTTGACAATTAATATTTTAAGGTAATATTGTTATTGTATAACAACTTTTGTTAGACATTTAATAAAATAAATTTCNCTGATCATATGAAATGACATAATTTGCATCTTACTGATGAAAGGCCAATGCCTTTATACAAAATGAGAGAGGGTGGTGGTCATTAACATACTGTCTACTGGTAGATAGGCACTTGAATTCCCACCAGAAAACATTGCTATGATGTTGATGAAAAACCATGAGAGGTGTTTCTGTAATTTGATGAATGCTATTATGATTTTATTTGTCAAATGAATAGTTTTATTTGTAAAAATGATTTGACTAGTGGGAGTCCTGGTTGTGTGTTAAATACCTTTAGCTGAATAAAATAATAAATTGACAAAAATTAAAAAAAGTAATGAGTATTAGTATATGCATTTATTGTTAATAAGCTTTTACCTATCAGTAATTTTATTAAATTCAGATAATTAAACCATTTGTCAGAAAAAACTAAGTAGCCCAAAAAGTTATCCAAAACAGTCTCTCAACTATGGTACAGTCTTTCAACTTTTATTTTTATCATTTAAACCACTCAAGTAGTTCAGTTCTCAATTTTTTTGTGTAATCCATGTGTGTTCAACCATTGGCCATGTTAGTGACAGTAGTGAAAGGTATAACATGCACATTTGTTATAATGATTATTTGCAAATTTGGAAGTGTCTGTACTTATGGTATTAGGAAATAATGTGAGTCAAACTTAACTTGCAAGTGAAATTTTTGAAAGTCAGAATTTTCCAAAATTCAGAATTTCTAGGAAATTTGCAAATATACATAATTCTGGAGTAAAAATTCAGATTATTGTGAAATTACTTAAATTAATGTAAAAATTAAATTTCTAAAATAAATGATGTAAAAAAACAGGTATCATACTTGTTACGGGGAGATAAAGCTCCTGAAACATGCACAGTATATGGAAATACAGATGGGAAATAAAACACATACATTAATATGGAGCAATATTCCACATAATGCAATGCATTTTTAAAAAACAAAATTATTCTTTGTATTAACTCATTAAGCATTCAGAGGTAAGAAGATTGGACTAATTTGCCTAAACTTTTTTCTCGTTTTTGCTTTTATATGGTACACTAGAACTCTGTTAAGAGGTTCATATTAGGTTTCCCAGAAAATTTCCCACCTAAGTACAGTAGAGCATTGTTTATCAGAATCAATTGGGGACTGGGGTTGTTCAGATAATTTATTTCTCGGATAACCAATTATATACAAAAAAAATATATTAACCTATCCCACGTTGGAATTTTTCTCCGTTGTGTGTTGCTTCACGTTGAATTTTTGTCGATGTTAGCCGAATGTAATTTTTAAAAATAATAATCATGGCTATTGTATTGTTAAAAATTATTTTTTTATTTTGTACAAACAAAATAAATATATTGAAAAATATAAAAACAAAAAAATTATATTTTGGAAGTTAATCTAGTATCAAAAACGTTCAATTCAGCATGACACAGTCTGACTGGAACGCTTTTTGTTAGCCGATGTTTCGGTTGATCGACTTTCGGATAAATGACGCTCTACTGTAGTAATATTCCAATACTTTATCCAAATAACTTAACACTTAGTAATCACAGATGGTAGAATGTGTGTGATGGCATTGATGTTTGAAGCTTAATAACTTCTGTGATTTTTGAATTGGCAGTAGAGGATTTCCACATGGGTGTGTGCTATTCTTTTACAATGGAATCTCGCTTAACAAGCACCTCTCATAATTTTCATAACGAGCAAAGCAAATTCTAAAAAAATGACTTGCTTAATGAGTGACGTTTTGCATAACGAGTGACGAGGAGAGGTCCTGGATTGTGCGCATGTTACATCAGTCTGTGTTTAACACTTGTTCTGCTTGTCATCTTAGTGTTGCTTGTGGTCACACATTTTTCCAAATCTGTGTTCAGACATATTACATATAAACATCAACAACCATAGCCATAGCCCGTTATATAATAAACATTCCAAACGATATGCCAAATTCTTTGGATATGTAAAGGCTATAATTAAATATTAGAAATTACTGTATTTCTAATTTTTTTTTTTGTTTTCTGCAAATCGAATTCGCATTCCAGGTTGGTTCATTCCACGCTCTTGAACGATGTAATATTGTTTAATTTTCTTTGATTAAACTTTATACATAAAATATTTGAGTATTTTTTTTGGCATGGAATGCATTATCATATTTTACATTATTTATATGGGAAAAATTGTTTTGCTTTATGAGTAACAATCTGGAATGAATTACGTTTGTTAAGTAAGATTCCACTGTATATCACTTCATATTTGTTTGCCAAACAACTACCAGATTCCATTGGGCTATTTATCTGTGTTTTAAACTTAATTAATTTCTAAAGAATTTGTCCTAGAGGAAACACGGCTCGACTACGGATGACGTATATCCGGAATCTGGCAGGAAGTGGCTAAATCGGCTGTATGAGGCAACCTTATAAATCTAAGACCTTGGGTGTTAGCAGCTAAAACGAGCAAAAATTTAACAAAAATAATATTAAAGTAGCCAAGACATAGCCAAATATTGTAGTGCCACATCACCAGCAGACATTTGAAATTTGCCGACTAGAACTGACGGTTAATCGGGGATCAGATAATCGATGCTCTACTGTGTATATAAATGAGGATGGATGTTTGTTCGCTACACACTCCTAGGCCGTTCTACCAATTGCTACGAAACTCGGCAGTTGTGTTCAAATACTTCCAACTTAGATCGTTTCATACATCCCACTCCAAATTATCGATCGGATTTCTATATATCGATTTCTGTGTACATTCTATTGCTGGCTTTACGTGTAGCGCTATCTATTGAAAAATTTTAACACAATAATTCACTAAATATAATTCTTACAAAAAAGGATATACAGTAATTTGAAAAATATACTGTATATATATTATATTCACCGAATTACTGCGATAACGATATAGCGCATAATAGATGCGCCATTACTGCGATAGGTAACACATAGAACTTGCCTGTGTGAAGTGTAGTAGTGACTAGTGATGTGCCGGATATCCGAGGGAAAAAAAGATCCGTATCCGTTACTTCATACTTTTGAGCGGATCTTTAACGGATCTTTTATCTTAATGAATTTCATTACTTATATGAAATTTTAGAGATAGGTAGCAATAGCACATTCGTCATTTACTATCGTAAAATATTTCCATATTACACTACTAAACT